AGTCAGAGAAAGACAAATATGCACTTATATGCAGAATCTAAAAAAATAAAATGAATAAACAAAAAGAAAGAGACACATAATAGAGACAAACTGGTGCTTACCAGTGGGAAGAGGGAAGGGGGAAGGGCACGACAGGGGTAGAGGATTAAGAGGTACAAACTATTATGTATAAAATAAAGAAGATCCAATGAGATATTGTACAGCACAGGGAATATAACCAATTTTTTATAATAACTTTAAGTGGAGTCTAATTGTTAAAAATATTGAATCACTATGTTGTACACCTGAAACTAATGTAATATTGTAAAGCATTATACTTTCATAAAAAAACAATTTCATAGACAAACTACTAGATATATACAAGCTGTTCAAGAAAATATTTCACAAATGGTCATAAAATCTGGGTGGTAAAATTATGGGCTGTTTAAAAAATTTTCAGTATGCTTTAATGAAGAATCATGTTACCATGAGTATGCTTTACTTTCCTAATCAGGAAAAAAATCCTTTTATTTTAATACTAATGGCTTATGGTTACCAGTGGGTAAGGGGAGGAGGGTTAAATTGGGAGTTTGGGATTGACATATACAACTACTATATATAAAACAGATAACTAATAAGGCCCTACTGTATAGCACAGGGAACTCTACTCCATACTCTGTAATGGCCTATATGGGAAAAGAATCTAAAAAAGAGTGGATATATGTATATGTATAACTGAATCTCTTTGCTATACACCTGAAACTAACACAACATTGTAAATCAACTATACTCCAATAAAAATTTTTTAAAAATAATAAAAAATATTACTGGCTAATACTCATCAAGCATTTACTATGTGCCAGGTATTGGTCTAAGTACTTTATCCATATTGATTGCTTTCATCATCATAGCAACCCTAAGAGGGAGAGCTTCTTATTATCTGCATTTTACCCAACGCCACATATAAGGGCAGGGCTGGAGCTGGGATTCACACCCAAGGACGTGCCTCCAGAGAGTGTGCTCTTAGCCACTAAGCTAATCAGTAGCTGAGCTGAATGACTGTATTTCCCCTGGTTTAGACCAGGAGACTAATTCCGTAACCCAAAATCTATTATGTTCTTAGTAAGGAGTTAATGCATCTGATAGGCAAACATTATGCCTTGGGTTGGTGGGCAGTGATAAACATCTCTCGCCATTTTATTAAGATATTACTTTAAAGAAAAAATGTAGCTTTTCTTCCTGTTTTACCTCTTTCTTAAAGGCTTTCTCTTCAATCAGTTTTCTTACATCATGAAGGCCCTTAATTTTAACCCATAAAAACATTCCAGCAGTAGGAACTTGCCATTCTGCCAAACCTACAAACAAAAGAGAAGAAATATTTCCCGAGACCATTTTTGATGATGTCAACTATATCGCTGAAATGACAAATTGCAGTAACTATAAACTAGTGTTTCCAAAAAAGTTCCTTCAGTGATAGCATTTTTAAAAATATAGTTTTATGAGTTCTGAAAACTGATGCTCTGGGTTTTATTTTAAAAAGTAAGGTGAGGGTTTGAAAGGGAGAGAGGGGACTCGTGTGTTTATTTATGATTTTAGTGGGTCTCAGGGCAGTGCGGGAAATCCAGTGCCATGCCCACCACCCTTCCTTAGAATTGCCCCTAAGCCGAACATGGCTCTTTCAGTTTTAGGAGCGGATTCCTCAACTCTTTCTAGAGGCTTCTAGTGTTTCAATAAATCCTATCATTTATGTAATTGTTCATAAGTCTAATGAATTGAAGTTTTTATCAGAATGTAGTTAATTATGAAAGGAGTACATAAAATTAAGAAATTCTGGTCATTGGTAGGCTTTATGCTTCATTGAACATAAGGATAGAGAAACCAAGAAGGAAGAATAATTATTTTGATTTTGATTATTACCTTTTAAAAAAAAAAAACCTTGATGTTGATTAAAGCCTTTTTTTCAACTTCACTATAGGAAGTGGTAGAATAGTACTCTTATCAAAAAGATAGTAATTGTGTTTTTACCAGGACTATGTAGGGAAAAAGATATGAGGGAAATAAGAAGTGAATACTTTGTATTTACCGTTATTCTTGCCAAAGGCATTTTTAGTGGTGTAATTAATGCCATGCAATTCATTTTACTTTCTTCCTTAATAGAAAATTAAATCTAAACCATTCTGAAATCAAATTAGCAATAGAAAATATTAGATAAATGAGGTTAATGATTAAAAGGCAAATTGTCTGTAATGAGAAACCTGCCTTAGATTGTACTGTTTTGTCTTTATAGAGTCAATAAAGGAGTATGTTGTTGATTTCACAATTCCTCTTCTATTTGGAGGAAAATTTTGAAAACCTTTTGAGTACAGGTATTATTTAACTTTAAGTAGGTTATTGCTGGTTGATTGTTAGACTAACTGGTCGTTTTTCTTCAAACCACAGTTACTTTGCAGCACTCAGTTATAGTAGAAATGCGTAGAATCGTGCCGGGGTTTGTGCTCTTACTTCTGAGATCATTCATAGGGTAACATTTTCTTGACAAGAATACTCCTGGACCCTGTTTCCTTCCCCAGGGTTATTAACAATACTCTGTGGTGTGTATCACTCACTCATATAAGGGCTACTGTTCATCCCAGGACAGGATGTAAGTTCCACTCACCACTTAACCACTTGTCTGCAGCTGCCAGTAATGCATCCCTCTGCTTCCTATAGAAATCAATAACCCTAGAAGAACAATAAAATGCAAAGGATGTGTTTAGTACATTGATTGCAGAAATTAAAAGGCTCTGGAGTCCATTCTGTAAGAATCTATTTTCTATCTTGATGAAAATGTTGAATTCTTGATGAGGAAAGAGAGCGTATTTATTTGACCTGTCTGATGGTAAACATTTTTACCATTGTGGGCTTTCCATTATTTTGGAATAATTCAAAAGTGAAAATTAATAGAGCAAAGTCCATTTCTATATAAAGTATGGAACCTAAAATACAGTACCTCTCTACATGAGCCAGGAAGCCCTCTTCTCCCCATTGGTGTAGAAGCTGTGATACCAGCAGCTAAAAGGGATGAGAGAGTTATAAGGTTCATCCTCTAAAATGTGTTTTTTTGCCAAACGTAACAGCAAATCACTCTTGATTATGTGCAAACGACCCTAAGAAGGTGCAACAACCTGCACGAAGCCTTATAGGGTCAGCGACTTATAACAACGTTGATTAATAACAATGACAACAATAATAGTAAAAATAACAAAATATTTATATGGTCCTTGCTGTGTGCTGGAAACTGCTGTACCATATGAATATATTTCAGCTAAGTTAATCTTTGTAATACCCTTATTAGGCAGGTCATTATTTCCACTCTACTGATAAAGAGAATGAGGCACAAGGTGAAATTAACTTTCCTGCAGTCACTGCTCATCACAGAGCCTGGACTTAGGTCAGACTGTCCAGCCCCAGATCCACCCAAAAGCTGCCGCCCTGGATGGTCTCTAACTATAAAACACATACAGTCTATATAGGAAGTTATACAATATATTTAGAGATTTTTGTATCCAGAATGAAAGTCCTAAATGTTCTAAATGGATAGTGAAATTTGGTTGCTAACAGATACAGAAAATATAGAAAAAGCCCCCAACTTGATAAAACATGGGATATCTGCACTTTGTGGAATGTATAATGTCAAAGAAATGTCCATTCTACATAAACTACCCCTTTTGCGTTCTTAGGTAGCAGTTCTGTCCTTAAGGTCTGATTCTCAGGGTTGCCTTAGGGATGGGTCCAGTAATTTCTCAAAGCTTGTAAAGAAATTTATACATTCTCCAAAAATAATTTTACTGTATTTTAGTTAAAATACATTCCAGCCGCTGTTTGTAGGGAGCTTAGCACATGGGCAGTGAAGGCAGACATCGGGCCACCACACGGGTTTGAACCCTTGCTCTCAGATTCCAGGACAACGAAGCTAACAGTGTGTTACTTCACCAAACCTCTTCCGCCCTGTTGAGTCCAACGCAGTTTTTATGGGATTCCTGGGCTAGATGCCAGGACACAGCTGAATAAGAAGATCTCTGACCTTCAAGGAGTTTGGTCTACACTGTGAAACAGCACCAGGTCCATTCCAATCTCTTTTGCTATTTAGAGCAAACATCTGCTGTGTGTGGTCTCCTAATTCAGTCCATGCGGATCTAGAGATGCAATCAGTGATTTCTCTCTCTGCCATGTTCACTCAGTCATATTTGCCAACATCTGTTTTATTTTATGATCTGATTCAAAAAATTCCTACCTGAGTGAAAGTGCTGGTGTGCATTGTTGAAACTTCTGTGTGTAAAACAATTCTCTCGATCAAGGGCTTTGGACCAGTTATAAACCCTATTCGCAACCTGCACAAAGAGAGAAAAGTCACAGTACCAACCCTGCATTAACAATTAATACCATATTAGTGATTTCATGGGGAAGAAAGTTGCGACCTGGGGACAAATGGACCTAGACAGTTAACACATTCTAATAAAACAACTTCTTATTTAAAATACACATTTAAATTAAATTGTACAGTTAAAATAGAATGCATATCTGACCAGGTATTTCTAAATGTGCTGTTTCATATATGCAACCAAAAACCTGACCAGTCCCCACTAAGCTATAGCTTAACGGCCAAGTATCTTTGACCACTCGGAAGGATTGGTAGAAAAGCCTGTTATTAATAGATAAAATCAAATGGGAATACAAGTATCTTAAATGAGAACTGTTTGCAGTAAAAGATGCTGAGGTGCAGCCTCTGTCACCTTTAGATGCAGCCTGCAGGCACAGCCAGGGCCTTACCCAGAGGACAGGACTTTGGAAAAAGAGTCAGCTCGGATGACACGCCCATCAACGTCCATGGAGAGAAAAGTCGGTGCCCGGGGCTTGAAATGGAAGAAAAATACTGTTGGTTTGGGAAGTCTGTTAGAGACCGTATCCCTACTTTGTGTAGAGACTGGGGAGGAATGGATTTGGAGAACAGTAGGACAAACATCCTTTTCCTTGTCTTCATCTCAGCCTTTGAAATGGAGTAAGAACCAGAGATGCACGTTCTTCTATTCGTA